TGGCACGATTTCTTCTCGAGAAGGGCGTGCCAACTTGAGTAACGTCACTTTTCGAAAAGGGCGGGGCGGATTCGAAAATTATTTAGCAAATTAACAGGCTGACAAGTCAACTGTGTGTGCATTCGGAAGTGGCTGACGTGGGTCCAATGGCTATGTGACCGGATTGCCAACAGGCGGCAAACTTATGGATGGCCGGCACGCAATTGCTTACCTTGGCCAAGAAAGTGGGCAGTGGGTGGGGCTGGTCCAGGGCCATTAAAGTAATTCTCCTGCTGTTTGTTTTTGGGCAGTTTGGTATTTTGTTTCGGTTTGGTTTAGCTTGGTTTGGCTTGGTTTGGTTTGCTTGGTTTGGTCTGCTTGGGTTGGGTTGGGCTGTGTCTGCTCACCCACCTGGAACACTGGCGTGTTGTTGCACTTTGTATTGTCCAAATATTTTGGTTCCGTCTGAGACCGCAACGCAAACACATGCAGCGTTTATTATGTGTATATGTCGGCTTAATGTCCTGTTAAAGCCGGCTTAGACCGGAATAAGGACACTTAGGGGAGTAGAATGAGTGAGTGGGCATGTTTTCCTGTTGCAACTGTTGCAACTGAAGCTCCGTAATGAAGTTGCTTGTTAATAAAAATTGAAATTAAAGCAAGACTTAACAAATGGCACGCACAGAATGATGAGAAAAACACGTACAGAGAGAAGAATAATTCGAAAACAGTAAAATGAAATAGTTAAAGTCATATTGCACATTAAATGTTACAAAAATAACAATAGTGAAAATGGAATTCCCTAAGAAATAAAGTAAATTCTTAAGGCCAAGAAAGTAGAATAATAATAACAAAATAAAGAAATACAGTCACACATTTGGGTGAAAAACTTGTTTTGCCGTGCCTGAAGTTAATTAAAGCCGCCAATCTGCTGGTGCCACGCCCCCTTCCCGGCCAGCGCCCCAAGTATTGCACTTGGCATAATTTGTGCAGCCGGCAGAAGCTCGTATATCAGACAGCAGGCGACGGTCGGCGTTCTCCCTTTCTGAATTCGACAACTCAGCGAACTGAAAAGCGGAAAAAAATAACCATGCAGAAGATGGCCAGAACTGGGCTGGCTTTTTGAGGCGGGAATCCGCCAACGAGGTCAACGACAGGCCAAACTGTCCGGCAGAGAGCAAACTTCAAGTGCGATTGTGTCTCTGTGTGCGTGCGCGCGCGCTTGTGTATGTGTGTGTGTGTGTGTGATGGCCAACACTTGGCGGACAATAAAACAATTAAACGCAAAGTCAACATGGCGAGCCAAAAAAGTTAACTCCACTCGACCCGCCACGCCCCACGCCCCCAGTCCCAAAATAACCACCGCAACGACCGCCCCCAATGAATTGAAATGGGAATCGAAAATGGAATGCAGCTGGGCCAAATGCCAGAGCCATTTGAATGCAACGAACGCGCCACATGCGGCCAACTATTGCTAGTGCTGCTGCATTTGCCACGGGTCGTATACTTAATCAAAACCAAAAACATACACCAACGCACTTGGCGAATTCTCTCTGTTTTGGCCGACTAGTAGCTGGCAACTTTAATTGGAATTTATGGTCGGACACTATGTGGCCGGGTGAGTGGTGTTTGAGTGCCGCGCTTTCGAGCTCTCCAGGAGATTGGAACAGGTTACGTCATTTGCGGGGCTTGAGCCCATCTCGCCTTGAGTGACGTTATCCGTAGAAAGTTCTACCATGCGCCGCACAAAATAAAGAAAGCGAATACTATTCGGTTTCCTCTCAGAAAGTTCCAAGGATGTGGCTCTTACCTCGCCTCACACACTTCGAAATAATGATGGGGCAACATGAATAATTTCTGCATACTTGTATATGTGGAAGTGTTTAAAGTTTGCCTGAAAGCGAATTATGTATATGCAAGATACCACGCGTACCAAAAACATATTTTAAGCTCTAAAATATGAAGACACAGATTCTACATTTTTTGGTTTCAAAATACACTTTTTTTCTAGTCGAACCTAGTGCTTATAAGAAATATCCCTTTAACATGGATAATTCATGGTTAAATGTATTATTAAATTAGTTTTCGTCTTCATCTTTCTGAAGGACCTAAGCGCACTTTGTAAATTGCGCCCTTGAGTCCCCCTATTAGGATTTTCCACCTCGGACTGTGATATGCATAGCATATAGGAGGGGAAATGTGCCAGTCAACCGCACTATCAAATCTTCGTCAATCCCCAAGACCCTAAAGGATATGAGACCACGAAGAGTGCTTCAATCACCACGCCCACCCAATCAAAATTTAAATCGTTTTGTGGGCGTTGGCTCCCCGTCTGTTGTTGTCTGTTTCCGGGACATAATGAATGGTTGGCCATCAATTGACCGAAGCTTCGAGCAATTGCAATTTGTGTCGCCCGATAATTGTCCTGTAACAGGACAAGTGCAATCGTAAGCTGAACTCTGTGCCACTTGTGCATCCGGAAAATATGGCCTGGATCCATGGAAAAAGAAGTAGGAGGATGTCGTCGTGCGCTCAACCATAAAATAAAAGATAATCATTATTTTCCTAAGATTGAACATAAATTCTTCGCGTGCGCGCTCCACCATTAAACGTGGTGCAGCTTCCCCGGAAATGCATCAAAATTCGCTGCCTTCCATCGTATCAGTTTCAGTGTCTGCGGAGCGGAGCGGAAATGCGCTAGCGCAGAGGAAAAGGAATAAAGTACGCACACACACAGTGGCAACCGCACACCCGCACATGCACACACACATGCACACTCATGCGGCTGGCAGGATGCAGCGGTAGCCCGTGGCCTTTCCAGCTGCAGGACATGTGAGTGTGGGCAGAAGAGTGCTGGGGCGTTAAGAATGCAACGCCTGCAGCTGCTACCGACCGGATGCAGCTCATTTCACTTGGGCAGGCAACAAAATGCAGGCCCAGGACTCCCATCCTGGAACCATCGTCCGCACCCACCGGGATCGGGAGGATGCTGAGCGGGATGAAGATGCATTGCCGGCTTGATTTAATAAATTTTCAAATATTTTCTCGCAAAATATTTTACTGCATCCACACGACTGAAAGTCAATTTAATAAACTGTTAAGCAAAGTGCCAAGGCTATGGGGAAGTATGTGTTTACATATGCAGTTGCCTTGCTGGCAAACAGGGCATACTCTTACTTCTGAAATCCAGTCAAAATAATAATAAGTAAACATAATAATAAAGTGAACATTGTTCATAATTGTTACTTTACAAATCATGTGAATTTTTTTCCTTCTACCATTTGTTTATATATTATATATATTCTTTTGAAATATCTATTATTTTAAAACACATTCTTTTGGAAAATTATGGTCAATACATATATCAACATTGTTTTATTAATTATGTGCCCCATAACTTGCGCAGGGTATTGAAATCGTTGGGCAAAGTGTGCCAAAGTAATACGTAATGTGTTTGAGAAAAGCGCTGTGCATGTGTTCTGCCACATGTATGTATAGCTATATGTTTTTCAATGTGTATGTGGGTATATGCTCACGTACTCGACGACATCCTCCATTAAAACTTAAAAAAAGTTCGCTCGCTTAATTAAATGTCGCATAAAATGAAATCTTGAAACATTTTTCAACCACAAAAATAAAAGGAGCCTTGACTTTCCCTACTTTACGTGCCTCCATCGCATTTTCACCGAGGCACTCCAATGAATTTCCACCCAATCCCCTCGATTTCCAACCACCACCCACTTGAGTTCATCAGCGGGTGGCGCCGATGTCGCAGTGATTAAATTGAGCAACCATTAAAATAAATATGGCGACAAATGGCTCAAGTGTGAGTTGGGCATAAGAAGTGGGCCAAAATGGGAGTGCCACTCCCCTCGGCTCATTAGGCCACAAATGCGATGGGATTGGGGATGGGGATGGGGATGGTAATAATGTTTGGGCTCAGCCCAAAAAAATATGCGCAAATTTGTGAATTATATGCGCCGTCTGTGGGAGAGATATTAATAATTGACTTTTTGCGCAGGGAAATATGAAAAGCCTGCCTTAAACGCAGGGCAGGGCAAGCTAATTGAAATCAATTTGCCAGCCAATCGACTGACCCCAGCAGATGATTAGGTCAGTCCTTGGCTGACAAGGTGGCAACATGGCTATAAGTGCGGCAAGAGCTCCTTGAGCTCTTGATGGAAGTAGTCGCTCCTTTCTAGCCATCTCCATCTGGCACTTGAATGCGACAAGCGGCCTCGTCGAGTGCTGGCCAAACTGTCATTGTGAGTGGGTGGGTTGCTTCTTTGCCAGCCCATCACCTGACCCACACGATCCCCTCGATCCCCCCGATCCATTTGGAGCACCAGATCCACCAGACCCACCACCTGTTTTGCAACGTCCTGAGCTGGCAATCAAGCTAAAAGCACCTGGCCAGGCCCTGAGCTTTGCTTATTTGTTTGAGAACTAGTGGGTGGGAGATGTGGGTGAAAAGTGAGCGGTCGGAGGACTCTGGTTGGGCGGCACTTTGGTCCATTGGTTGGACCCGTAAATCTTTCCGCACACTTTAGCAATTTATACATAACCGCCGGCATTTATTGTCACTTTTAGCTGCGAGTTCACCACCCCAAAAGGCCACCCAACCACCCAGAAAGCCCATCACGTTTTGCTATTTACATTCGCCATGGCAACATGGCGAAGCAATTTTTGTACACTTTTTTGCTCCGCATTTTTTTCGTAGTGGCACGATAAAGTCATCTTCTTCATTTGCAGCCGCCGGCTGTCCAAGGACCAAAACTTTATTTGCCACCGAACCGCCAAATGGCAAATGTCACGTTGCAGACTTATTAGCGCTTCTTTCCCGCCCAGATAAAATGTCGCTGCGAAACGAGATTAAATAATGCTCTTTCTGGCTAGGTAAAACACACGGCCAACTTCTTGCGAGTGCTGGGAGAACAGAGTTTTGCATATTTGTCTTGAATATTTATCAAATCGCCCATACGCACCGTGGCCACGAAAGAGCCTACATTTCTGCGTGATTTATGATTGGGGAAAAGCCGTGGAACAGGGATGAGAATGGAAGGGTGTGCCAGGCCAGCAGCAGCGTTGATGAATTACTGGCCGTAATGATGCATCATTATGTGGAACTAATTGCGGGCCTGGCCCACAGTCAGTCATTTGGCATTGTCAATTACCATCGCCAGCGAATAACGTCGGTGGGCTTCATAAATTAGCTTCGCTGATCGAATGAAAGTTTCATCAATTGTTTATTGGGCCATGGGGCTCACACTCGACTTAACCCATATATCAAAATCACGCCGTGGATTTTCTGGGGCAGATGTCACATTTAATTGGATTTTCACATCGGCCTTTGTTTGCTTTTCGGCCACGGCGTCCTAATAAGCTATTAAATAGGCGCCCCAGGCGAGAGTTTTCCCCTTCACCGAGAGCATAATTGAGGGCAACACCTCTCCACCATTCCGCTCGTTCGGCTATCCCCTTTCCAGGATTACTCACAGGACATAAATAACACGAGGACTTCCGTTTGCCATAAAATTGACGCGTCGCTTGGCCAGAAGGCGAAATGGCGCCCTGAATTGCCAATGACAACATTTCCGTTCCGAGGACAACAAGCTCAGGCCCGCAAATCGTAAATTTCAATCAATGGAGCACTCGACTCTCACTCAATTTCGATTCGATCCCCTCAGACAATCTGCGCCGAAAAGAGAGAAACCGGTTAGTGCCACGCCCTCCGCCAGATGGTCCCTAATTGCAGGACTTACGAAATTTACGGAGCACGGCACAAAATATTCGAATATTTTTAGAGTGAAATAGAGACGGGTAATTTTAAATTCTATTAAATACATGAATATTTTAAAATAATTAAAAATGAACATAAGTAAAATGCATCTCTCCTCAAACGTTAAAACTAGATGTGAGCACTGCCGGCCAAAAATAAAAAGTTAGAATATTTATAAACACAATTAGAATATTTAATAATGAAATAGGAATTATAGTTTTTCGGTGCATCTGCAGCAGCAGCTGATGTTGAAGACCCCTAACAAGTTGGAAAACTTCGGGCGAAGCGAATGTGTTGCAATATAACTCGTAAATCATTAAAACTTCGCTCATAAAAATAGGCCAAAATAGGAGTGTCACAGGGAAGAAGTTGAAGGGTGTATATTGTAGCACATATACTGGTATATATATGCCCATAATAGTTGTCCTTGGCCCTTTGGGTTAATCGAAAAACTTTTACCAAATCATTCCGGAAAATTGCCACTGAAAATAGCCGGCTAACCGCAGGCAATTTTAGCCCCATTTTTTTGACTAATTGCCAGAATTTCAGCGCTTAGAGAAGCTTTAAGTTCGATTTTGGCCAGGCCAAGTCACAAGAAGAGGGCATCGCTGATATTAAACCCATTTTCCTGCAACACGCAATTTATATGCACATAATTACCAGCAGGCATCCTGATTATACGAACTTAACAAGCTTTCTAGATCGCATGGCCGGAATGGCATTTCATGTTCACAGGTACACGTTATTTCATCACCATCAAACGAGAGGCCAATAATTACAATAATAATCGTAATATTATCAATGTTAATTAGCGATCATCAATCATGCGTTTATTGCATTCCGTTTATTTAACTTGGAAAAATAACAGCCAGTTGCCAGTGTATCGCCAATTAATGAGCAACAGTTGATTAAAAAGCATGAAAATATTTACGACATATACTCAGACAGTTTATGATAATTACATTGCTCCAAGTATACTAACTTTAAGGGAAAAAATACCTACATATAGCCAAATTATTGGTTCATCAGAGGACCTTTAATCATTGATCACGCACATACAAACACAAGAGTTTAAAGGCCAAATATAGTAATTCTACATGCGGTTCCCAGTAAATCGCAGCCGCAAAATGTAATTATTTGTAAGTTAATTACAATCCTCGGTGTCTGGCATTTTATTAAATTGGGTAAATAATACATTGGCCTGGTCTCTCTTGTTGTTTACTAAATCAAATCGATTTCACTTGCGTTCTGTTTGAGCTAAATTACACCGCTTGAGTCTCAGTTGAGTGAAAATCATAACAAAATTGGCAAATTGCTGAAAATCCCATTGAAACATTATGCAGCTTTCCCTTCCAAATAATCCGACAGCTTTCAACTCGTAAAAGTATTTATGTCCTTTGTATCTTTGATTTGTTTTTAATGCGCATCTCGCTGCTGAGGCAATAAAATGTTTTGACGGACAGTGTCGACATGAAAGAGACAGGCACAGTTCACAAGAGGGAGACGGAACAGTGATTCAAGAAAGAGACAGTCTGAGGGTATGAGAAAAAGACGGCGTAACCAAATTTGAGAAGTAGCGGCCAGCAAGCAAATAAAATTATATTGAAAAATTTATACACAATGTATAAATATGTACATGTTCTCGGGACAGAGAGACGTTTACGACTAAGTAGCCTGCATGTGTGCAAATGTGCAACATAAACTTTTATGCCATACACAGTTTATATTTACCGCCACTTGACCTTTTTCAATTTTTGGCTGCCCCTCTGTTGTATCTTTATGAACATGCAGGACTTTGAAAGTGTTAGGGTTTGGGCTAACAGGACGTAAAGGGTTTATATGCCGAAAGCCTACTTAAATATGGATGAGATGGAATTGAAGGCGAACAGAAATTTCCCTGTGAACGGATTTATTTTGCTGGTACAATCTTAATTCATAAATGAAATAAATATTTAGTCTTGAAGCTAAAGAGAGGCCACAGTGGAAAAATAAAGTTAGTTATCTCACAGCAATCTATTTATTCGTATTATTTATTATTGAATTATTTCAGGGCTCATGAGTCCATTTGGCCACCCTATTTGTACTCTATATACGGATAATTTCCGCTAGCTCTTGATTGATTTCGGGATAAGCCAAATGTAATTCCCGTAATTAGATCATTCCAATGACCCAGAATTGAGTAATGTCCCAAATTTATTGAAATCCCCATTGGCATCGCAATTAGATGTCATTCAAAAATTGAAATTAATTTTCGCAGCCATGACAAGGCAATTAATCGCGTGTCCTCGCTTTTTGCCAGCGAAATTCTTTGAAACTAGATTTTCCACATTCCACACGTACACTCGTATGCAAAAGTGCATAAATCAAAATAAATTTGCCAAATCACGAACCTAATTTAAATGTCACAACAGTAGCAGCAGCGTTGACAATGGGAAAATTTATTTAAAAAAAGTGGGGTAAGTTCCATTTTTGTGTATTTTTTGCGTATGTCCGTCATGTCGCCGCTATGTGCGTTTATTTATGCATTACGAATTACTTGCGACTTTCTTGCATTTGTCGCACTTGTTTCCGCCGATGGCCACTGCAGATGGCAGGAGATTTCCTCGATTTTTCACCGATTTTCTTTGAACTGGTTTCGTTGTTTTCTCCTTTCGTTTTGGACTGCACGCGCGATTTTCGCAGCCATTGGACAAAAGGGAAATCGAAATTAAACTGTCCAAGGGGCTGTGCAGACCAAAAATTTACGACCGTGCGCGTGCTAAACGTGGCCCAGACACAGGAGCTTTTCGCCCGTCCATTTTCCGATTTCGCTCCGGTTCGCCCCTTCCCATTTTCCGCTTTTCCCGTCGCCCACTTGGAGCTGCGTGTCCCTTCATTTGGCCGCAAACATCCGCTCAGTGAAATGACTTTGTGGCTGGTTTTACATAACCCTGACAGACAGTCGGAGTAAAAGGAAAAGCGAAAAGCGAAAAAGGAAAGCAAAGGCGGGGGAGTGGGGAGTGGGGAGTGCGGCAGGACCAGCAGGATTAAGTCCTGGCGGTGCTTGCATGTGTGCATTTGATTTTTGGCCAACATGAATGTTAAATGCACATTTGTTTCCGGCCAACGCAAGCTCATGATTATTTTATTGAGCCGTTTCTCCGGCTTCTGTAGCCTTTCGCGCTGAAATTGCCCTCGACATGCAATTCGCCAGCTGATTTAGATGCGCCACAAACCCTCGTTGCATTCACATTTTCAGTAATCTCGGCAACTTGTATTCATACTTTTGGTTGCTGCACATAGAGAAATTGGTGAACATTTATATTAATTATGTTTTCATTTATTTTTCAATTTTCATCAACTTAAATGTTGATTTAGAGACTTGACATTTTCGAGAGTAACTAGTTGTCGAACCCTAAATTAGAGAATATTTTGCATTGTTTCTCAGAACAATGGTGTCAATCTCACGGTGTACTTACACATGTGGCTCGCCTAGTCTTGAGTGGCTTTTCCGGATCGTTGCACGCACAAATTGCCACTCGAATGGCTGGCTTACCTCCACAGTATCTGTATCTTTGTACATTCGTATCTGAATCTGCAAGTGCTTTGCTGTATCTTTGCAACTGTAGAGACGACCAAGTATATCTGCATCGCTGGCTCGCAACTGAATTTCACCGAGCACAATATGAATAAACATTTTCATAACCCGTATGGATTTCAACTACTTGCTATCTTCCTATCTACTTAGCTGACAATCTCGAGTAACTCAATTTTCAAATTGTGAAAAGGGTTCCCACTTTATCCAGCATTATCCGCTTCGGCGTTTTGAACTTTCGTGATTTGGGCACAATGTAAATACAATCAAATACTCGAAACCCCAAGGAACAACTTGAACCTTGTTTAGATTTGAGCTCTTGCAGCACACAAAATTACTCCTCAACCTCAATCAATGAAAACTCAGCACGAGGTCAGTTCACGGATGATGTCATTGAACGATTGTCCTTCCATACAAATGAACAAATTCATAACTAGTCGTATTCCCAATCTGCATTTATGTGAATAGATACAAAATAAAGCAGGTGACTCAGGCCCGAACATAATCAAAAGTTTTCACCAGATATCCTTTAAAGAAACTTTAGCAAAGATCGCAGCAGGAATTTTTTAAGGCATCCTCTGTCTCGAAATCTTTTTGCAACCTGACAAAAGTTTCGGGTCTTTGAAAATAGCATTTTAGAATTTGTCAGATATTTATTATATTTGTGAATGCTTAGCTAGATCATTTTGAAAATTAAGTGCCTGCATTATAGCACACTCATTTGCAATTCCATAATGTACGAGTATGTGTTAATACAAATAAGCGCTTTCACAGAACTCACATAGAAGACAAAGTGGGAATTTGTTTGTTGTCACAGGCTGATGTATGGCACCTACAAGGAC